AGTTTCAATATGCATCAAAGGCTATATTTTACCTATGTGCAATATCACTACATACCTTCTGCAAAATCATTAACATCTAACAAAATTATCGATAATTCCTTCATATCACTTAATACCTAGTCCACTTTTCCCATTTGTCTAAAAGACATGTTTTTATTGTTGGTTTTTCTTCACTGGAATCCAAACGAGGTTTATTCAATGCATGGGGTTATTATGTCATAACTCTCTTTAAATATAAAACAGTCTGCCTCCCATTCTTTTTCAAATTTTTGACCACTTGCAAAAAGTGCATCATTTGTTTTACCACTCTGAATTCACCGTACCTTTTAACTTAATCCTCTCTCCTCTGCATTTCTTATAAATTGATAGTTAGCTCTAGAGTTGATTAAGTTCAGTCTCAACATTTGCAGAAAGAATATTTCAAGGAGTTTCTGTGTAATTCTTACACCAGCACATTGCGAAACGATGTCTGGTTGTCTCACTACAATTAAATCTCCTTAAGGAATTCTCCTTAACATAAGGAATTGATTCATCTTAATATTTGCTTCCTTCCTTCCTCTCTCCCTTTCTGCCCTCACTCCTCCCCTTTGTTCTCTTTTTTTCCTTTATTATCAAGAATATGTGTTGGATTTTGTCAAGCTTTCAGACAGCTATAGAAATAATCTCATTTTTCTCCTTACAATTCTTGGTGTAATTGAGTGCTGGGATTTGTGATTTATATTAGTAAATTTGTAGTGTTGAACTCTTCTGGCATTACAGAGTGAATTTCACTCTCTTATGATGTATTTTTTAAGAAGATTTACTTTATTTATATATGTATCCAGAACTGGGGTACAGGCCAGGGGTGCAGGGGTGGTGAGAGGGTTCACCAGAGACAGAGTGGGGGGCAGAACAGGCTGACTAATGAAGTACACTGCTGAGGGGAGCAGCGGTGGGTCAGGAGAGGTCGGCTGCACCTTGTGGGTCACATCCAGGGCTGGGATCGAACTGGCACTGAAGCCACTGGGGTTAGCTTGCAGTGCTGTGCCCTAACGCACTGCACCACCCCTTATGATGTATTTTTTAAATAAATTTTGAATTTAATATTTCAGATTTTGGCATTGATACTCAGAAGCAAGATTAGTTTGTTGTTTTCATTGTTGAATAATCTTTATTAGGTGTCATTTTTGGTGTACACACACACACACACACACACACACACACACACACATATATATATATATACACTACATAAAACACTTCAGAAGTTTTCTTACTTTTTCTAAATTCTGGAACAATTTGAGCAGTTGTAGAACACCTTGGTGAAATCGATGAGTCTTTTGTTATTGGTAAAATAGTATGTAGCATCTTGAATTTAGACTCTACTGGAAATTTTAATAGTTTAACAAATACAGTAACTGGATTCCTCAGCCTTCTGAGAAATAAAACAAAAAAGCCTGTTTGAGATACAGAAAGAACAAAGTTCACCTCAGGCGCTTGGCACATACCTACATGGAATGTGTCCACAGCAAATGCATCAAAAGACAGTGTGAAGAGTTTGCCTCCATACAATTGACATGTGATCGTCCTTAGTCCAAACTCAATGTGTTAATCCAGAAAAAGCAGTACTAGCATATTCTTTTCCTTCATTAAGCAATGATCTCTTATGGAACAATGCATTACAGCAGCTGCCTAATCTTTGAAACCACAAGTTTAGAAATGCTGTTGACAATGAAATGTGCAGGCTCTAGACCCGAGTTTCCATGAACACATGTAACAGCCCTATGGAAATGGACAGTGTACAAACAGACAAAAATGTCTGATGTCACTGCATTCTATGTGTTTTTGTGAACATATATTAGTTTGGGCGAAAGGTTATATGCCATGCATAACATCTGCATTATTTCTTGTTAGCCTCTTAGCACACACACATCTGTGCATACACACACATAACTTATTTTCTTTGAAGTAGTGGACTTCTACAGACTTGTGGCATTTTCTAGAAGTTCACATAAGTTAGGATGGATACACAGTAAGGATAACTTTAAATGAAAAAGTAAAACATTGAAGTCTACTTTGAAATATTAAATTATGGAATTCATACGTCATTGTAACATTTCTTCTGACCTCTAAAACCGTGGATATTATTTGTGTTTTGGTGGTTCTGTGACACAGTTACTGTGATACAAACCCCAAATCAACTTACAGAAAAGCAGTTAGTGGAGATTTGTAGGAGTGAGATCCAGTTGGGTGAGGGCTCCTTAATTCTTTAATTTACTTCAGTTATATGCTACATCAAAAGTTAAGTAATGTACTCATTATCTTAAATACCCCTTTTCCCTTTATTATGTAGAAGTAAATGCAGGGATTAAGATTGGTTTGACTTTATACCAAAACCGTAACAGCACTACCTAAAAGAATACAGCTTAGTAGAAATATCACTTAAATTTTTTGTTTTTAAAAGCACTGCAATATAGTGTATTTAATCACTGTGCTACTTTTCACAATTAAAAATATAATAGATAAATTTTAGTTTGATTAGTATTCTAGAAAAATTGAGACTTTCTTATTTTATAAACTTAATTGTTCCTCCAATAAAATGACATGATATATCCCATGTACAGTTAGTAGCAGTGCTTAGATTGAAAACAAAACATCAAAAATTATCATTGTGGGTGCATCCTACAACTCCCCAAAACCTATATACAAAATGCTTAAGCATTACAGAGACTTTATTGGGGTAAGAAGATATTATTTAACAACTTACTCCAACTCAATACTCAGCAAATCAATAGAGACAAATTTTTATTATGTGCATTGGGTACAGATAACCAAAAATTATAGATAATGAAATATACTTTTTATTCAGTTTTGAAATATTTTGGTACATAAAGTGAAATGTGCCAACCTAATGCTCCATACATTTGTAATTAATACACACACACACACACAGGCACAATGAAGAGCTGGAAAATACCAATTTTCCTCATGGTGTGAAGTTATTCCTTCAATATGAATATTTTGATTGAGTTTGAAATTATTGCATCATGCTATTATGTTAATATCTTCTCATAATTGGAAGAGGTATTTTATTTACATTATACTCAGAATAGTGAATTGCACAGAATTAAACCAGATTGTGACAACTTTATAACACAAATTACACTATTGAAATTGCTGGCCTATTGACTATTTCACTGGATAGTAAATACCTTGAGCACTTTAACTGCTTTTTTAGTAGTACCTCAACAAAATTTTGCCTGGTATATATATGAATAAATGATAGAATAAAATGTTGAAGATAAAAATTTAATTTTGCTTTCATTAACTGTAAATACGAAGAGAGAACCACAAAATGTGGGTTCAAATCTTACTGTAGCACAAATTATTTTTAACCTCCTCAATAAGGCTATTTTCTCCTATGTATTTTAGAATAGCTATAAACTGAGCTAACATACTTGAAGGTCCTTTGTAAATATCCCCCAAAAAGTAGTTTTCTGATTCTACAGCAAACTCATCTAGGAAACATATAAAAGTCTTTTAGAAATGCAATGTGCTAACTCACATATATTAAAAATATACACTGTATATAAATTTTCTCAAATGAAATATAGCTGAACTCCTTTACTTAGCCTACAAATACAATTAAATCCCTTCCTTCCAGATACAGGCCCTCCTCCCACCCTTGCTTTTATTTACTCATAAATAGTGTCTAAGAGTTAACACCTACACAACTCTTCCTTCCAGATGCGCTGAAATCTGACCCCACTGCCACTGCCCAAAGAACATCCCAAAAAGACAAATGAACCCACAAACTTCTTTTCAGTTGTCATTTTATCTCTGAAGATTTATATCTTCCTCTTACATCTCCACTGGCTTCTTTCTTCAGAATGGTTATCCTCTATTTTTTTCTTTCTTCAGTGAATAATCTTTTTTACTAGTCCATGTCTTGTTCTTCATATGCAGATGTTACATGAGGGTACCTTCTTGGGTCTCTTGTTCTTTTTTTCCCCTGTACTTCTGTTAGCTGATCCAGCCTACTCCAATACACATGGCATCATCTGTGCCTGGCCAACTTCTAATATTGTGTCTTTTTCCAGGTTCCCTCCTAAGTGTCAGGTTCCTATTTTCAGTTGTTAAGTATTTCCATCTGGATGTAGTACAGTCTCTGTGTCAAATTCATTCATTTCCCTCACCTCAAACTTCTCCCTTCTTTTGCTGCCACTGCTGGGGGTCACCAAAGTAGACACCTGGGCATCTTCAGTGACTTCTCTATTTTATTAACAGGATCTACTGTTTCTCCATCTGAAATATACTTCTAATCCATCTATCCTCATCTCCCCATTGTAATTTCTACTGCTCTAATTCCATCTTCATTACTATATTTTGAAGCAATCTGTCTGCCTTTTAGTCTCTAATCTTTTATAATTTAAAAACAACCTTGTTACAGATACATCATAGACATGAAAACACACCCCAGTTTTTATATCTACTTTTTGCTCTTTGCCTAGAAAATAAACTCCACATTCTCTGACATGGCATTTGTGACCCTCACTAATTTCTTTCCAACCTGTTTTTCTAATAACTCCTACCCACACTCTTCTCTTTCTAAAACAGTTCCTTCTCTTAGTTCATGAAGTTCCCTCTACTTATTATGGCTGTTCTTTATCTGTCAAAAGCCTACTAGTATCTTTTGGGCTTAGGTGACTGGTCAGTTCTCTCTAAATGATATAGGATACATTCTCTACCTTGTTTTACAGATAGAATTTCCTTTTTACTCTTCAACTGCTATTAAAGTGTTAGAGGCATTTTTCTCCACTGCATTTGAATCAAGAAGAAATTCCTTGTTCATTTTTATTTCACCTATGCTTCCTGCAATGCTTGACAAACATATGTTCCACAATACTGAACTATTCTTGATTCATGTAACACACAATAAACAGACCTGTTCTTGATTCATGTAACACACAGGACAAACTTTAAGAATAATCTTCACCTTTATAACACATAAGCTCTATCACACTGATTTTTTTTATCAGTTATTAGAATCAAATAAAAAATCATTTATCTTTGGGTAACAGTGGAAGTACACCCTAAAGATGAACTATCGTTATAATCTTTTCAGCTTTAAGTAGACCAAACAGCTAAATTTCTTTCTTGCTGTCAGTTTGGAAAGAAGCAGGAAACAATTAGGCAAAAATCCACTCAAGTGTCTGAAAAAAAAAAAAAATCAAATATGAGACACTTGTGCAATTTAGAGTATCAAGGTAAGGATCATTAAGTCTTAAGGAGTTCAAGACATTCTGAAAGCTAAAAATAAAATAGATTGGGTAAAAACAGCTTTAAGAAAAATCAGATATATGATAAAGGGTTAGTGCTAAATGACTGTCATGAAATATTTTTATATAACTCTAATGTTACTATTTCTAATATACACACAGTTTATGAAATGACATTAAGTGTTTCTGTATGACTCTAGACCAGGTGTTAGCAGACTGCAGCCTGTGGGCCACACTTGCTTTTTAATAAATAAACTTTTACTGAAACATAGTCATGCTTATTTGTATTGCTTTGGTCTGCTTTTGTTCTACATGGCAAAGCTCACTAGTTAAGAGAGTGACTGTATGTCCTACAATGCCTAAAATACTCACAAGTTGTCTCTTAAGGAAGATTGGCCAACTCATGCTATAATCAGATGGAAGCTAGTTGAAAACCAAATTAGTTTATGTATGTAAGCTTTTCTTATTATTCTAAATGTTACAGTTGTTATGCAGATATTTCTTCCCAAGAATCACAAGATTAACAAAAAGAAAAGTAACAGGAAATATATAGATATCAAGTACATAGGAGAGACAAATAGCATACAGACAGGATTTTTTAAAAGAACAAGTTATTTTATTTTTATAATTTAATAATGCCTGCTTAATTATTATTTATTAACTAGGAAAAGAAGTAACTGTTCTCTACATTAGAATATGTCGCTAAATATTAAATTTCTAATACTATTCACTAAAAAGTAGAAATAATTCTTCCTATTGGAATAAGTATATATATAGTGTGTGTATATATAGTGTTGTGTGTGTGTGTGTGTAATTCTTTTTTACCGTGAGTGGAGAGAAAGGTGGAAAGAGGAAGAACAGAGGAGAGGACAGAAAGGTGACAGGGAGGGAGAACCTACTTTACCTCATTCTCTGATTGATATGAAACCAATTTGTGTACCAAAATTAAGGCCATCTCGGAAATGGGAGAAAAACTTGTCAGGATGGCAAGATGTACAAAGGCTGAGATCTTGCGACTGGTCCTGAATATTCTGTGGAAGAATTCCTCCCCGTTCTAGAAGAATCCTTAGGATAAAGATTTTTCAAAAGACAGTAAGGTTTTATTACCTAAATTCATATATAAACTCTACAACCTACTATATTTTCCTGCAGACATGATCTTTATGTACTGTCTGAATTAATTGATCTACAAATATTCTGGTAACTTCAGAAGTTTCTTCTTAAATAAGTACTTGATTTTGATTATAAAATTTTGTATCCAGATCATGTCTACATTTCCTCCTATTAATTAAACAGATTTTTCACAAGGAATCTGCTTCTCCATAAATACTTTGTTATGAAATATGACTATAAATGAGTGATACTTAATTCAACAAGTTACATTTAAGAATCAATTTCAATCCCTTCTACTCAAGTACTAAATGAATAAAAATCTGGACAGTGTTTTGCTGGCTGAAATAGACACATGATTCCAATCAGACATCTATTTTCTGTTGTAGAAATGACAAATAATTTCTAATAGCTATTAATAGCAAAACTCCATAAATTCAAAATGAAAGGGATCATACACTCTGCAAAGCAACTTTGTAATTGTAGTAATATTTCTGCTAAGGAATATATTCCTCTAGTTAATTAGAGAATAATTAACTTTAAAATACCAGCTTTCTGATAGCTTATTATATTTAGGAGAATTCAGCAGAGGAAAGACTGAAGTATATGCCAACTTCCTTTATATGAACTTCAAGATCTTTTAAACTGTGTGTCAACTGTTTCTTCTTTCACTTTTAAATCAGTAAGATACTAATCTAAAATTTCTGTCATTCAAACATAACTGAGAACAGATTTTATTTAAATGAATTTTTGTGCATACGTAAAATCTACTTAAATATCTGCTTCCTGAATATTTCTTGGTATTACAAATTGTTTATTGCAGAAGCAGCAGGCAATAAGCAGACTTGCATTTCTGTAATGAAATAAAACATACCTTGTAGCTTTACGGATATCAACATAGGGATTTGGTGAGTCAAACAGTCGTACACAGTCAGGATCAAGACTATGAAATGCCTTTGCTGATTCCCTTGGAAGAGTAAAACAGCAAGGTCCTATTGAAGGTCCAAGAACAACAACAATGTCTTCCAAACTACAGCCATATTCTGATATCATAGCACTCACTGTGGCCATTGCAACACCTAACAAAGTACCTTTCCAACCTGGTAAATATGAAGAAAAAGAGATAAAGAAAGTTAAAACACAACAAAACTTCATCCTGATGTTTACATACATTAAAAAATGAACAATCATTATTTCTTTTTTTTAAAGATTTATTATTTATTCATATAGAACTGGAGTACAGGCCAGAGATGCAGGGGAGGATTGACCAGAGACAGAGTGAAATGGAGCAGAGTAGGCAGACTGACTAGGTACACTGCTGGTGAAACAGGAGAGGTCTGCTGTGCCTTGTGGATCAACTCTGGGCTGGGGATTGAACTCACACTGAAGCCGCTACAGCTAGCTTTGCAGTGCTGCGTCCTCACCCATCATGCCACCAGGGAGGGCCCCATTACATATTTCAAAGTAAAAAAAATAGTAAGTAATTAAGTAAAAAAGTGAGTTTTAAATGAAGTAGATTATGTAAAGCATCTAATACATAAGACATTTAATGGAAGGCCCCTTCTACTTCCTTTTAAACATGCTCCGTACTTTGAGTTTCTACTGAGGTTATACCATCCTAAGTCTTTTCTAGCTCCCTCACTCTTTTTTACATTTTAAAAAATTGTGTGCAAAGCATAGAACATTTTCACCTTCTTAACATCTTTAAGTTAGTGTACACTTCAGTAGTGTTAAGTATATTCACATTATTGTGCAACCATTCTCTAGAACTTTTTTCCTTCTTTAAAAGTTGAAATTCTGGGCCCTCCCTGGTGGTGCAGCGGGTTAAAGCACAGCACTGAGAAGCTAAAGCCACTTCCTCATGAGTTCGATTCCCGCCCGCCCCGGAGGAGACCACATGGCCTGGCAGACCTCTCCTGACCCGCCCGCTGCTCCCCCTCAGCCTGTTCTGCTCCTCACTCTGTCTCTGGTGAAGCCTCTCGCCGCTCCGCTCCTGCACCTCTGTATAAATAAATAAATCTTTAAAAAAAAAGTTGAAATTCTGTACCAATTAAAATAATTCCTCACTCTGCCTTTCCCAGACCCTGGCTTCTACTTTCCAGTTCTATGAATTTAACTCCTCTAGATACCTCATATAAGTTGAGCCACACAGTTTTTCTTTCTTGCAATTGGCTTATTATTCCACTCAGCATAAAGTCCTTGAGGTCCATTCATGCTGCAGCATATGTCAAGAATTCCTTTATTTTTAAGACTGGATATTTAATTGTATTTATAGACCACATCTGCTTTATCATTCATCCACCAGTGCAGTGAGTGAACACCTGAATTGTTTCTATCTCTTGACTATTGTGAATACTGCTGCTCTGAACACAGTACAGAAATATCTTGAGATTCATACATATATATATGGAATATACATATATATATATACATATAAATTGAAATATATATACAGATGGAATGATACTGTGGTTTTGATTTGCATTTCTCTATTAGTAATGTTGAACATATTTCACTTGCATATCTTCTTTGGAGAAATGCCTATTCAAGTCCCTGCCCATTTTTATATTAACTTCCTATGGGTTTTTTGTAGTTGTTAATGGAGTTGCAGGAGTTCTTTACACATTGTGGGCACTAACTTCTTTTCAGATATAGGAATTGCCTTGTGTTTTCTTCTATCCCCTAGGTTGCCTTTTTCTCTGTTGACTGTGTCTTATAATTGATATAGTTTTAAATTTTGATGAAATCCAATTCACCTATTTTTACTTTTGTTGCTAATTTATAAAACTAACACCTAATCTAAAATCATAAGATTTATACTTAATGTGTTCTCTAGGAGTTTTACAGTTTTAGCTAATATTTATGCTTTGATCCATTCTTAGTTAATTTTTACATATGATGCAGTAAGAAAAGGGTTCCACATCATTCTTTTGGATACGGATATTCAGTTTTCCCAGTGTCATTTCCCAGTGTCCCAGTTAAAGAGACTGACTTTTCCCCATTGTATGATCTAGGTACTTTGTCGAGAACCACTGGACCACAAATGCAAGTGTTTATTTCTCACCTTTATTCTAACCCACTCCACAATGTTTTTGATTACTGTACTATAGTATGTAGTACTGTAATACATTTTGCAATCAGGAAGCATGAGACAACAATTTTATTCTCTTTCAATAACTGCCTTATTTTGACAGTTTTATATTTGATATTTTAAAAGTTATATTGAACAACCTAAGAAGTAATAAAATAATATTCCCTTTCTATGTCCAGGATCCAAAACTCAGATTTTAAAGAGGTTTGATAGTATCAAATATTAAATCTGACTTCTGATCATCCAATTCCATACTTTAGCTAGGTCACAATAATAAGCCTCTCTCTCTCTTTTTTTTTTTTTTTAATATAACTGGCCTAACAAAATTGTCATAGATTTACAAAAAGAAGGAAATCCAAATGCTCAACCCGCATTTCATGAAGAATTGTAAACACCAGATAATCTAAATACTATTTTTAATTACCTTCAAAAAACACAATTCCATGTATAACTTTAACACAATGCAGCATGTAAAAGTTCTTCTTGGTCCTTATTTCCAGAAAGAACTTAGGGTTAAAATATGCTTATAGCATTTTAAACTAAATACAGTTTTCCAAATACATCTTGCTTTTCCCTACTTCATACTTTTATATGCTGCTACATCTTGATGAACACGTTTCTTCATGACTAATCTTCCTCTTTCCAGTTGCTTAGACTTCAAGGGTTCTCAACCAGAGAAGTAGCACTCAAGGGGAGTGTTCTGAGACCAAAAAGGCCTTTTGTTCCCTTTTTTGAATTTTGTTCCTTTCCTTTGGTTATTACAACAACTGGGAATTCTGCTAGCATTAAGAATTTCAAAATCAAACAAACTTAGTGTACAGTGTAAGTTCATTTTGCTCCGTTAATCGCACCCCAGCCAAGAAAAGCAGGCACCTAGCCAAATCCCACACATTAGGGTAGTCACTATTCCTTTGGGAATTCTATTCTAATTCATGTAATTTAACTTCTGCACTCCTTGCACTGCCTCCTGTAATGAGTATGCTTTCCTATCTTTATGTCCATTATGTCCACTCCTATCTTTATGCTTACTACCATGTCAGGTTTCTGCCCTACTCTCCAGAAAGAACTTGTTACTTTTCCCATATTATAAAACTGGTAAAATCCTAAATGCTTAGGTAAGTACACTAACCAGAGTGAGCAACCCCACATGCTTTTTGGACAGGATCTGCAAAAACTATTGGTAGACAGTCAGCACCAAGAGCAGCTATTGTGACTCCTCTCTGATTTGTGGTGATTCCATCATAAGACTCAGGCTCTTTTTTCTCCATAATCCAGACATCATTGGCATGATCAGTCTAATATGAAACATAGCAATAAAAATGTTTTCAAAGTAGGATTTCTCATACCATTAAGTCTTCAGAAGTACTCATGTTGTACAAAGTTATATAACCAGTTTAGGATTACTAGCATTCATTAACATCACTTCTATCTATTGTAAAATAACACATTTATTTATCATTTAATTTGGGGGATACTATCTGTGTATTTATTCAAAAGAACATTCATATTTAACAATCCAATACAGTCCACCTCCCACTAGATGATGGGTAAATCTCAACTTGTAGCATTTTCCACAGAGGGCTACAGTGACAGAGGTTAGAGAATTAACAAATTAATGGTATTTTTACTCTCCTTAGACTCAAATAAAGCTAGTATTCTTTAAGAAACAAGGCTTTACTTCACTGGTGATCATATCCCTCCTGTTGATTTAGAAAACAATGGCCTTTATCGTCCCTCATGCAGGAAACTTTCTTCTAAATAAAAAAGGGAAATGGTATTGTATTTCCTGAGAATTAACCATACTTTTAGAGGTAAGAAGCTACATGTGAAATTTACCCCAGAATCAAACTTTGGGCTATTAAGTGTAGAGTTAAGAAAACAACAAGCATTATCCCAAATTGTTAGCTAAATCACCAAATGTCAAAGTTAAATAGCTTGATTAAAATCCATGTACTCATTAACAGAATCAAGAATATACTTTAGATATTCCAAAATAAGCAGCAAACTTGGTACCTTTATTCGATAAAATTTCTCCACATTAAATCCCGCAGCATTCCCCAATCTACGCAGATTTTCTTGAACAACAACCCTGGGATCTCTCCTTCTGGAACTACTGAAGAGATTGAATGAGCTAAGAGTCGGTATGTAAGATATCCCACCTGTTCTTGTTGTAAATCCATGTATGAAAATATCTGTTAAAGATAAGTAGTGAAGACAGCAAATATGCCATATAAAACACTGTTAATTATTACAAACTTCTAATTTCTACAGCAGCTTGTACCTCGGTGTGTCCTAATTATGTACTACTTTATGCTTGTTTAATCCTCCTTATATGATTACTGCTCTTCAAAGAGTATCTTCGGTCCCAACTTCCTTTGTTATATCCAACAGCAAACAGATCACAGTAAAAACTGCTTAACCAAGAAGATACTTTTAAATTTCACTCTTCCATAAAGATACCAATGAGTTAAAGTTGAGAATTTCTAAATAGGAACTTCTCATTTTAAAGGAAGACTGTGAGCACTGTTTTTAAAGCTTATTTGCATAAAGCAAATTTATTTATTTAGGGTAGTTTTGAAGGACTACCCCTTGATACTACTAGGTCATTGCTGAAACTCCTATTTTGCAAGAAATACTAATGAGCACATAAAACCACAACAGTCTACAAAAGAGGAAAAAGAGATGTGCTAACTCTAAAGAAAAACTAATTTTCAAGCATTCATTAAAAACAACACAATATTTAATCTACCTGAGATCAAAGGAGATCTGATAATGGTTAGTTCTCCTTTCAGAGCTGGCAGACTTCTCAAGTATATTTCTATTTCACTCTGAATTGCTTCTAGATCTTGAGCTGTGATGACTTTTATATCAGTAGACTGTTTCAAATGATCTCCTTTAAAAGTCACCTGTAAGTCTTCAAACTCAAAATTGTAAACATTGGTGAAGAGTTGATCAATAAAAGCTTTTATTAATGTCTTCCGATGTATAGGTACAATTACCTTAATGGTGCTCAAATTTTTTTCATCAATTTTTTGCTTAATGGTATACAGAGAGACAGCCAAGCTGGGATTGCTAACGACCTCAAATTCTCTCAAAAGAGTTGAAAATCCACTTTTTGTTTCTAATTCACAATTATCATGTTCACCATCCCTTTCACAGCAAATGTTACTGCAACACAGTATGCAAAGGAACTTGGCCTTGGTAGCGTGGTGGAACTTAACAGAATTCAAGGTCTTCAGTAATGTCTGGTCACAATTTTTTTGAGAGTTTAATTTCAAGCCAAAGAGGTCAATCAGCACTGCTTCTGCCATCTTCAATATAGCATGAGGTTTTTTAAAGATGTCTCTGCCCCAGAATAATCACCCCTAAAGAAAAATTAGCATAAGTAAGGATGCAAAAATATAAACAGACCTCTGATATTTACAGCAGAAATATACAGCTGGATTAAAAAAAATAATTGATCTAAAAATGTACTCAAATGAAGAAAACGACACTTCTCTGATGAAGACATCAAGAAAATGAAAATCAAAACACAAAGCGATACCATCTCACACCTGTAAGAAAGGCCCATTATCAAGTAATGGTGAGGCTATGGAGGAAAAGAAATTCTGTACACTGTTGGTAGAAATGTAGAATGGCTCAACCCTGATGGTAAACAGTATGGCAGTTTCTCAAACTGTTAAAAATAAATCCACTATATGATTCAGGAATTCCACTCCTAGGCATCTACCCAAGGCTGCAAAAATTCTAAAGGACTATGTTCACTGCAGCATCATTTACAATAGCTAAGTTACAGAAACCACCTATGGGCATAATAGCAGAGGAGTAGATTAGAAAAATGTAGTGGACTACTACTCATCTATAAAATATAGATAAACTCATGCCATTTGCAGTATCACTGATGGAACTGGAGAGGATAATGTTAAGCAAAGTAAGTCAGAAAGAAAAAGATAATGGAGGTTTCACTTATATGTGGAATATGGAGGGAAAAAAAAAGTCAGAAAAAACTGAACCAGTAACAAACCCTAGAAATCTGACTGTTTCATCAAGGCTACAAGACCTGACTGAGGTAAGTACAGAGCAAAGTATGAAGGGGATTGGTGGAGGGCTGTCTGCTTTGGTGTGGTATGGTGTGGGGATAGATATCTGAGGAAATGTGATCTTATGCTTCTGAATCACGGGTAGTACTATAAGTCAGCATTACCTCAGTTTTTAAAAAGTGCCTTTTCTGTGTGGAGAGTCATCAAATTATTAAAAATGGAGCTACCATATGACCCAACAATTCTACTCCTAGTATCCTAATGACACAAGAAACATTAATTCAAAAGGATACCTGCACCCCCGTGTTTATTGCAGTACTTTTTATAATAGGTAAGATATGGAAACAACTCAAATGCCTGAATATAGATGACTCTATCAAGAATAATATTTGGCAATCAAAAAGATAAACTCATGCCATTCAAAGCAACATGGTTAGAGCTAAAAGGGATATGCTCAGTGAAATAAGTCAGAAGGAAAAAGAAAACTATCAGATGGTTTCACTTATAGGAGGAATATAGGGGAACAAAATAAGGGATCAATGAAAAAATAAAACTAAAAAAAATCAGCAGGCAACTATAAATCAGAGACATTCTGCAAGGGATAGGGAGGGAGAGGGATCAAAACAGGGGAGGGAAGAATACAAGGGGCTATCGTGAAGGTGCATAGGTGAAATGGTGGTGGGAATTCTATGGGGCCTACATCTGAGAGAAGAAATCAAACGCTGTACAAAAATGAATATGTGTTACATATATTTTTAAAGTGCCTTTTACAACATTAAAATTAACAAAGTAATCTTTGGGTTAAAGAGAATACACATGGAAACAAAAAAGGACCCAAAGTAGTACATTTCAACTATTCCCTTCTCAACAGTCCACTATTTTTTACGTGAGAATCATAACAATTAAAGCAAAGTCATATTTTAATTCATTTTGTTAAAGTATCTGTACACTTTTCCAGCAGTACAGCAGTTCTCTGGGTGATGGTGGTGGTTTCCATATAGCCAATCTCAAGCAGGGAATTACTTGCTGACTTAGACCAGGTCCTGTTTTTAATTAGAGGGTGTTGATATGTGATACATTATTAATTCTGACATGACTGGCGTATCAAGTCACACCCTTTTATATGAAACACCAAGACCATTAAGTTCAATAGCTAAAAGGTGCTGTAGTTAAACATCACATTTTAAGGAAATAAAAGCGTGGATGACTAACAGCTCTCCCTCCAGGATTAGATATGGCAATCGTTACACAGTCATCTGTCATTGGCACACAATCCTCTACCACTGCCTCAGATTTGGCTCTTCCTACTTACTCATTCTCTTCTCTCCAGCACTCCCAAACCCTGCTTTGCCACCCCACACTGAGGGGCTCACTAGGGCCCCCGTTTGCCCAATTTTCTCCTGCTGCCACACCCAACTTCGGCCCCCTACCGTACAGGACTGCTGCTGGAGTTCACCTCACCAGTTTCGAAGAGTAAGGGGTGAAAAAAGGGGTGACGCCGCCGTTCTCTCCTGCTTTGAGGATTTGTACTGAACGCCTCTCCCGGGCTCCGCGTGGGCGGGGCGAAGTAAGAAGCCCCGCCCTCTCCCGCCCACTCCCGCCCGAGGGCTGCTTCATCCGGGCGCTAGCTAAGGCAGCCCAGTCGCCCCATCGTGGCCCTGGGCTGCACGCTCCGCTGAGAGCGGAGATCTGCCGCCCCCTCCCCCACACTTACGCCGCCCCCGAGCCTGTAAGAAACCGGAAGCCACAAGCTTAGCCCCCTGGGCCAAAAGGCCTTGCCTGTTCGCCCCACCTCACGCTCTTCACTGCCGAACGACGCCTCCCCCGCTTGGCATCGGCCTGGCAGACCGCTGTGGTCCGGTCAGCAGCTCAGGGCCGGCCCGGCGAGCGAACAGCTGCGGGCGGGAGCCGGGAGGTGGGCGGGTCCCGCGTGGACGCGGTGGGCCGGACCGAGCCGAGCCGAGCGGAGACTCAGTGAAGGAAGCGCGCGTTGGCGCCCCGCGGCGGTCTCGCCAGTTCCGGGTGCGGCGGCCCCCTCAGCCCGCACCCCAGGCGGTGGAGAGAGAGGAACTGGAGCCCCAGCTGCGGAAACGTCCTCGGGCCTGAGCCCGGAGAGCGGGTGACCCGCTGGGGAGAAAAGCAGGGCGGCTGGACTCGCGGGGGTGGGGGCGCAGGGCGGCCCAGAGAAGTGGGTGGTGGGAGATGCTGCGGGAAAATTCCCGGGCGACCTTCTGAGTGGAGCCCCCTGCTCTGGGTCTCTTTGCTGACCAGGCAGTGTGGTCAGGGCACGTGGTTTAATCAGCCGCTCCCAAGCCTGAGAGCTTCTTTAAGTTAGCTTGTGGCTGTGTGTTCCCTCCACTGTTGGGGGGGAGATTGTTTGCGTGTTTATTTATTTACACTGTTTTTGTTTGTTTGCAGAAACAAGTTGGTTGATAACTTCTTCCTCTAGATGTTTATGGTGCTTTTGAATGTCCACTGGACCAGCCCTGCACAGCAGCTTCTCTTGTGTTGACAAATAGTGCCCCAGTATGCCCTTTTAAAAGTACCTACTACTAGTAGCCAAGTGGAAGGATAGACCCTTAGAATTCTGATGAACGTGGACATTGGCATTCTTTATTTGCTCTCGTTATGCATGGCTTTCATTTCTTTATATTGAGCAGCTATGATAGGGAATGCGGATGCTAGGGTAAAGAGGAAAAAACATCTAAACTTCAAAAACTAAAAGAAAGGGTGCTTCCTGGGAAAATGGTTATGATGGAAGGAGGGAACCCTCTTTTCTTCATTCTTGCTTGTTTGATAATTGCTGAAGAACCTTCCTGGAATTCAGGAGGAATTTCAGACATGTTGGAGTTTAGAGGAGCACTTGGAGGTGGTCAGGTGCTGCTGTTCTGTTTACAAATGAATTGAATCACCAGCCCAGAATGGGAGTTTTCTGTTTGTATCCCTAGTGGTGTGTGTATGTGTTTGTTTTTTATTCAAAATGGTATTTTTATTAGATATTTATTAAGAATCATGAGTGGTAGGTGGTACATCTGTTCACAACTTGCACTCTGCCTTGAGCTTGTTATATGTTAAGCATTTCGTTAAGTAAAATAGAGGTCTTGTTACAAAGGTTTAAAAATCTTTTTTTTTTTTAAGATTTATTTATTTATTTGTGCATACAGAACTGGGGTACAGGCCAGAGGCTCAGGGGCGGTGAGAGGATTCACCAGAGACAGAGTGGGGAGCAGAACAGGCAGATCGACGAAGTACACTGCTGAGGGGAGCAGCGGGCGGGTCAGGAGAGGTCTGCCGCGCCATGTGGTCACCTCCGGGGCAGGCGGGAATCGAACTCATGCGGAAGTGGCTTTAGATTCTCAGTGCTGTGCTTTAACCCGCTGCGCCACCAGGGAGGGCCTAAAAATCTTTTTATGAACAATGGTGGGAAATCATTTTTCTCTGTGCAGTTAGTAGTGGCAGTAAAAATTATAAAAATACTTCAAAGTAGGGAGTCTGTCAGGGAGGAGAGAATCTTCACTATATTGTATTTACTTGCCATTTTGTTCCACTGTCACCAATCCTCACCTCCTAACAGTCTATTATCTCATCCTCAGCACTCCATTCCAATTAATCCTGACTATGTTATTTAAAAAATAAATAAATAAATTCATGAACCCCATTTCAGACATCTGACTCAGAATCTCTGGGTGTCAGGTCTGAACATGTTTTGCTTTGATGTTTTATTTCGTTTTGATCTAATCTTCAAATGAGTCAGATGCTAATTGGATTTGGAGAAAAATAAAAACTTCCCTACTGCCAAGCCATTCAACCTAAAAACTTAGGCAGGCCTTGTGATTTCATTCTTTGCATATGCTATTCCATCTAAACATCCTTCCCTTTATCTGCTTATTTAACTGTTGTTGCTTAAAACCCTTCAAGCCCAAACATAACCTTCCTTGAATTCTAGTGCTCTTACGAAGTATAATTAATTATTTCTTAACATTTTTTTCATATGGAACAAATGCTCTGGACCCGTAATGGATTGAACAGATTGAAAATGTTAAACATTGAAGTGTGCACATTTTAAGGTTAAACTTGATATGTAAATTATATCAAAATAAAATTTCTGCCAATCTAATCCCATTTTCCTATCTAAAATGCAATGCCTTTTCTTTGCAAATCTGCTGATAAGACAGCTGCATTGTATTTCTTGCATAACTAGTTCTAAACCATCAGCTAACATTTCCCAAGATTTTATTCCTTTAAGAGGAAAAGAACTTCAAGGTTCTTGTGACACTGAGTACAGATTTCTTGTTATTGCTTATAATTATTTCACATATTCAAATAACTGTCTTTCTAAAGTAGTAAACATTTCAATGAAAGAAACTTTTCTACATTATTTCTGTGGTATTCATAATATTTAAGAAAATTATGAAAGAGCAATAACAAGTAAAACTAGCATAAAGTTTTGGGAACAAACACAAAGTTACTCATCGTCAGATTGTACAATTCAACTGAAAGGAGTAGTAGACAAACTCACTAGAGAGTAGCTTTCTAATCATGAACTTTAGGCATGATAAGGGACTTAGAAACTTACAAAGAAAGAGAGTAAATGGATTAGAAGTTAAGTGTTGGTATGCTGAAAGAGCATTTACTCTACCTCTACATTTTAATAATTTGACTATATGTCTATCTCCATATTAAAGACCTAGAGTATTCTGAGAACAGAGATTGTGCATGCCTATTAAGGGGAACAACTTGGGAAGTCCACAGATATTCTTGTGTTACCATGTAAATCAGAATAATTTGTATTTTTAAAAAGTTTGTGTGTGTGTGTGCATGTGTGTGTATGAGCAATTGTTTTTAAGCTATATTGGATCCCTCAAGAAAAGATATATAACATTAATTTCCTAAGACTACCATAACAAATTACCACAAATTGGATGGTTTGTAAAGAAAAAAAATGTATTGTCTTACGGTGTTATTAGGACTATGTTGCCTTCAAAGATTTCCTTGCTTGTTACAGCTTCAAGTGGCTCTGACTGTTTCTTGATTAGACCTTGCAAGGCTTAGGGCCCCATGTCTTTGGCCTCATATTTTCTTGTTTATCTTGTATCACACTCTTATCTTTTGGGTATAAGGTCACATGTGGAAATAAGACCAGCCATGTTTATTTAGAAAAGCCTGTTTATTTAGAAATCACAAGGGAATCAGCCTTTCACCCACACTCCTGTACTTTGGCAGAAACTCAGAGGAATGAGTAAGCTTTATAGTGGGGGAAAAAGGGATAGCTTCAGGTGTGCTCTCCTTGGAGTCTGTTAGTATGGGAAGTGGTAGTAGACCCAAAGAAGCAGGGCATCTTACATAATTAAAGGTACATATTTGGCATTCTCTAGATGGTCACAGTTAGAGTGGGAATTAAAATTAGGGACAATGTCAGTTATTAGTCAAGCACTGGCCTTTTGGGGTTAGCTGTTAGAGGAATACGTTTGACTTCTTGTATTATTTTTAGAAATCATGGTGTAACTTCCTACAAGTCTGATTTAGAGATAGCTGGCTGGCTTCCTGGGCTGATTACTGTAAATAATGCATTGATTTCCTGAGTTTTCTAAATAAATATCATATTCACAGGTTCTGGAAGTTAGGACACTCACATATTTTGAGTGTGCCAAGACCCAAGACATGACAAACCAAGCTACTCTTGGTTTACAAATCATGCTTAATAATTTGAAGAAAGACTTTCTCTCTTAAATGCTAAGGAATTGTACAAATTCTCGTTTCTTTCTGTTTTCAGCATCCTGAAGCTTTAGTCTTATTGTCTAGTCTGAGAAGAGAGTAATCGCTAGTTGCAACAGATCCTAAGATATTGTGCATGAGAGGTATGCGATACATTTGTAATGATTCAATGAATTCCTTTTGGATCCCTCTAATAATCTAACTTCTCTTGAAAACGTGCAGTGTGCTTTATTGATTCTAACCCATTTGTGCAGTCTATCACTTTTTTTCCATTGTGCCTCCTGATTTTATTTGTTGGAATTGAATTATCCAGATGTGATTCTATCATGCTTATTGGTCAATAGAGACCAAAATTTAATATTTATTTGACTCCAGGAAACCCTCGTATTTTACCTTTCTTCAGGTTAATATTTTAGCTGCCCCATTCTCACACAGTAACTTTAGATAAACTCCCCTCCCACTTAACAAACAAAAACAAAAGCATTTTCACACTTATATGACAAGTATCTATAGATTATTTTCTTTACATGTTCTCAAGAGGGTGGGATGCATATATAAACTTAACTATTTAAACTACCTGGATATCCACACAATTGCTTTTTCCATTCAGAATGAAAAATAGTGATTATGTGACATGGATACACACATAAAACTCTCACCTCTTAATTTTTCAAAGCCAAAAGTTCTCAAATGCTCCAGTGGAGTTTGATAGCCTTGCTCTATTTTGCTCAATAACTTGGTAGAAGATCTAGATGATGTGTCTCCAAAACTATAGCTACTTAAATATTTCCTCTCAAGGGCCTAATAATACAGAAATTTACCTCTTGAATTCAAATGATGTCATGTACAAATCATGCTTAACATAGTGTCTTTTAGTACAAAGTAAGTACCAGTAAATGTTAATTTGGAACCTAATTGCTTCAATGTTCATCCTTCCCATTTATTGGATGTTTGACCTTTGGTGAATTTTCATATTTCTCCAAGTCTTAGTTTCCATATCTACAAAATAAACATAAAATAGTAATACCTAGGTTGTATGATTGCTTTGAGGGGGAAAAAGTCCATGTAAAAGCACTTAAAACAGCCCTAGTTAGAAGTATTAAATGTTAACTATTAATATAGAATGATAGTTTTTTATAGTATTTCCATTGCATTGTTTTCTTTAAAACTACATTTTTAGTTGAAAGTAATTTTTCCTAAAAGATTTTGTTTATTTTACATGTAGAATGTAACTATTTACTATCAAATACATAGATACTGTGAAGTATTTTTTAATCACTTAATTCACATTCTCTATCACGCCTTCCGTATAATATGTACCCATGTATGTGGTTTGAGTGAAAGTAACTAATGGTGTCTGGTCTCTAGTTTGCATTGATTTGTGCAAATACAATGAATTTTCAGTAGATGGCAGTAGTTTGATTTTATTTTTAAAAAATCAAAACTACCAATTTTAAAGGACATGCCCCTTCATGAATAGTTGGTTTAGATAAATATTACCTAAGAGTGCTTCATTTTATTTATGTATATATGTAATGGAGATTTTAAAAATACCGGTTATTTTTTATATGAATCTGATTTTCTTCACTTAATGAAGGTTACTTCATCAAATCCTTTAGTGAATGTAATAATAAGTAAGACATTGTGTTTTTGAAACATACAGTCTAATGTGGAAATAGAGTATAAGATAATGGCAGGGATAACAGTAAAAATTTGTTGGGTGGCAGCTCTTTGCTAGATGCTTTACATGAATTTTTTCATTTAGTCCTATTAGTAATCCTAATGAAACAGGTACTACTATTTTTCAAAACTGAGGCTGGACTGACAAGAATTTACCTAATAAATTAATTAATATAACAAAACCTAGATTCAAGCCTAGCTCTGTGCTATTCTAGAGCATATATTATTATCTATCATAATACATTAGAGATTTTGAAACAATTGTACTAAAAAGGGAAAGGAGAGATTATATATCCAGAAAGATCAGGAAAGACTTCTGAACATGCCATCTAAAATGGAGATTGGTTGTGATGTTGACAACAGAAGAGCATAGTAGTTATAGTCTAATAATCAAATAGGATGAATTGTAGTAGATGTAGATTATAGTCACACACGTATTAAGTGCCAGAGACTGTTATAGGTCTCTGCCCCATCATGGAGCTTACATTAGTAAAAGAAGATAGAAAAGAAGTACATTCATAAATAAGATGCCTATGAAACAAATACTCATAAAATGATACTAAATGAAATGAAGGTGAGTTCATGTTTTAGAGAGTTATTAGAAAAGGTTTTTCTGCTGAAACAGTATTCAGAAGCAGTAAGAAGTTATTTTATTCTCAATATAAAAATTGAAAGCAACCAGTTTTGCCAAAAGGACTTCATTCAACAGGTTAGAGAAAAAAAGAATCAGGATTCTGACTTGTTCTATGAATAAAACAATTGGATCTTCAGCCCCAGGCGACATCAACAATAGGCAACATCAACAATAGTCTCCTTTATGCTTATCATGGGTAAACCTGCTTGACTTGCCCAGGGTTCTATACCTTTCTAAAGACCCATCTGGTAATGTCCTTAGGACTTGGGATCTAAAAAAGAAGAATTAACTTGTAATTTTCTGAGATGCAGAAGCCTATGAAGGTCCAAGTTTGGTGGTGATGGGGTAGAAAGAGGAACCAATAGTTTAATTTGGAACATATCAATTTGAAAAGTCTATAGGGATTCCAAGTGGAGATACCAGCTAGGCAAAATGGTATGAATCTGGAACTGAAAGGGAATATTTATATTAGAAATATAAATTTGGGTGTTATGTGAATTTTAAAGCATGGAACTGATTGACATCACTTGTGGAATGAGTACAGAGAAAAGGCTTGAGGGCTGAGCTCTAGGATTTTCTAACATTAGTGAGAACGATGAGGAAGAATCAGCAAAGGAAGAAGCCGGTATGGTGCTTCAAGGAGAATATGATTTGTCAAATGATGCAGATAGGTCAGGGAAGATAAGGACTGAATTCATCTACTGACTGTGGCAATGTGTAGGTTTTTGGTACTTGGGTAAGAACTTTAAAGGTAGAGTGATTATTAGTTTTGGTGAGTTCAAAAATAATGGCAGAAATGGGCAGGAAGTTTCTCAGCTATAAAGGGAAGCAAATAATGGATCAACTGCAAAAGGGGATTATGCTGCAAAGCAAGGGTAGTTTTTGTCGTTGCTTTTCCGATCAGTTGTTCAGGAGAATACATTTGACCAAAGAAAGAGGAAAATTCTATTAGTAGAACATTTGAAGGATTAATGGCCTGACTAGAAAAGAAAGGATTGCAAAGTAAAGAATGGGCTTCGATGGGAGTGAGAATACATTATTCATTGCAAGAAAAGAATAGACTAGTGTGTGCATACAGGAGCAGAAGGACTGGTAGACTGTTTGATTTACCATCCTCTCTGATTTTTAAATTAGCTCATTAAAATAAGCTGAATTATCAACTGGAGGAATGAGGAAAGAAATATGGAAGGTGTGAATACAAAGGAAAGGAGAGAAGTATTTATCTCTGAATTTTAGAGAATCCTAAGAGCATAACATTAGGGGCCCACCTAGTATAAAAGGTCTTGAATTGAAAATGAAACATAGTATGGGAGTATTTTTTTTCTTTAGACATATTGTGCTACTAAAGTGTAAGAATATCAACTGTTGGGATTTTTCGAAGGAAGTAGGACAAGGAATCAGAGAAGTGAGGATGAATGCAAAGGCAGCTAAGCTGACCAAGGAGGAAAGTAACTACATGGAACAAGGGATTATGAAAGGATAGAAGGAAGTGGAGTGGATATCTGGGTATGGTTGAAATGGTTTACTATTTCAGAATGTCAGGAGAAATTGGTAAAAAGTAGATTTAATCTGAGAGTATGGATGAGTTGCAGTTACAATCTATAAGAGTTTGGGGAGGATGGATGAAAGGAAACATCACTGTACTGAGAGCTCAGGGTATTTGTACCATCTGTGTAGATGTTGAGGTCTCAAACTTAAGAAAAGTAATAATAGAATTACTTTTAATTAAAGGTAATAAAAAGTAATAATAGAAGTCAGATGTTCTAATTTGATAGCAGGAAGTAGAGATCTGGAAGTTAATTGATAGAAACAGGGAAGAGTGAAATAGTTTCATGGCATGAAGAAACAAAGTGCACTGGGGGATAAGAGCATAATAGTATGATATGCCTTGCCTATCAATTTACTGACTTGAGTATGAGGACGTAGTATCTACAGAATATTTCAGGTAGAACAAAAAAGTGAAAGAAAAATTCACCAGAGAAGTTAAAGATTGGATTCTTTCGACAATGGATCATTAATTCCAGAGCTCACAATGGAAGGATATAAAAGAGTTGGGGAGTGGATTGCATCAAATTTGGGAACTTACTAAGCCTAATAAGGATAGATCTTCATGATGAAGGATGACCTGCAAGTCTACGACTTCAAGACTGAAGTTAACAGAGATGTGGGGTGTAAAGGGGGAATACACAAAATGTATTGGCAGACTTAGAGATTGACACTAATTTGATGGAAAGAAAAATGTAGTAGCTCCCCCGGAAGGTAATTTACCAGGATCATGAAGAATTCACTGAGTCTTCTCTTCACTCATGCAAATTGTGGTGTTGAGGCCCTCAGAGTCTGAAGGAAGTGCAGCAGATCCATCAATGGACTTTATTGAAATAGTCCCCACAAGAAGAAATGTGGGTAGTAGTGGGAATAGTAAAGAAAGCAATATGAGAGACATACAATACAGTAAAACAAATGCCACTGGATTCCAGAGTTTTATGCAAAGATATGACGCTTAAAAGCTTAATAATGTTGGAGGTCTATGATACTAGTTAGGAATGTTGGAGTCAGACTATCTGAATTCAAATAAAATTTTCAACACTAATAGCTGTCCCACTTTAGATAAATCTGTTTACTGTATGTGTAAAGTAAAAATCATAGCATCCATTTCATAGGGTTAAATGAGTTAATATTTGTAGTTAGGCTATCTTAGATTTAGGGCACATAATAATAACTATGATATTTGTTTTGATTTTTATCTAACGTACTTAGACCACTGTCTGCATAAATAAATACTAAATACTTTTATCATTTGTAATCAAGAAAACAAAGTATAAATATAGAGGGCATGCATTTTCAAGGTAGAATGCAACCCATCTGGAAGAGAGAGGATTGGATTTGGATTCATTAGCATTAATCTGGGACTATAAAGCAGAAAAGACACAGAGAAATGGCATGAACCAAGTGATGGGCTCCTCTTCAGGGAAGGCATAAATGAGGCGATTTAAAGTGAGATTTGAAGGAAAGAAGTGACATGAAGATAGAAAAGAATCATAAATTCTCAGAGGTGATAATGACAGTCTGCTGAGTGAAACTCCCAGAATTCTTGTAGCTTGATATTCCTGGATCTATTTGAATCTCCTGACTTAAAGAGCAATTTAGCTTTTTCCTTTCCTTTTCGCTTATATATCAAATTTCAATCCTTTAAATTTTTGTTTTTGGAAAACATGCTACTGGTAGACAGTGCTTTATATTTAGCCAATCTTTAAGAAAGATATTTAGTGATTTTACATATTTCCTTTTGGGAACTTCCTTATATATGCCTTACTGTTATATTTCTCTTCTTTTGGCTTATAAAATTTATCATAGCTTTAGTATGAATTGGAAAGATTCACAGGTTCTATATAATAAAAAGTTGTTTTTTTCTTTTTAAAGATAAATAATTTCAGTAGAAAACATCCATAGGTCATAACAAAGGGAAAACATGAGAATCAAAATTCAACTGCAGTTCTACTTTCATAAATTTCTCACTCAACCAATGTATTTTGATTTTTGGAATTAATTATGAAAGGTTATTGACATTACTGTGAGATGTTTGACAGTTTGGATTACCACTGTGTGACAAGAAAGAAAATGAAAGATTATCATTAACATTGATTATTTTGTCAGCATAAAAAGGTGAACAGAAAGGAGACAGAAGAATGTCAGGCAGCACAGACAGGAAGAATCAAGGAATTCTTGAAGGTAATAGAGCAAATCTTAAGAAATAAATGCTTAAGGGCCCTCCCTGGTGGCGCAACAGGTTAAAGCACAGTACCATGAAGCTATTGCAGCCACTGCAGCATGAATTCAATCCCCAACAAGGGAGGTGACCCACATGGTGCAGCAGACCTCTCCTGACCCAGCCACTGCTCCCCTCAGCAGTGTATTTCAGTACATCTGCCTGTTCTGATCCCCACTGTGTCAGGTGAATCCTCTCACCCTCCATACCTCTGGCCTGTACCCCAGTTCTGTAAACATAAACCTTTTTTTAAAAAAAAGGAACTGCTGGCCCTCCCTGGTGGCGCAGCGGGTTAAAACACAGCACTAAGAAACTAAAGCCACTTCCTCATGAGTTCGATCCCTGCCTGCCCTGGAGGTGACCACATGGCGTGGCAGACCTCTCCTGACCCGCTCGCTGCTCCCCTCAGCAGTGTACTTCGTCGATCTGCCTGTTCTGCTCCTGACTCTGTCTCTGGTGAATCCTCTCACCCTCCGCATCTCTGGCTTGTACCCCAGTTCTATATGAATAAATAAATAAATCTTTAAAAAAAAAAAAAAAAAGGAACTGCTTAAAACATTACCAATTTTTAAAAAGTATGATGTAATAATTATATTAAAAGTGATAGCAAGTTAGAGTAGAGGGGAGTTGTTCAATTTTACCAGTAATTTAAGAAGTAAGAAACATAGATAATATTAGACAATATGTAAATGTAGGGCTATAATGAAAAATTATCAATTATAATTGCTTATATATTTGTTGGGAAAGCACTACAATTATAGTATAAATTGTATATATTGTGTATGTACAAGTGGTCTGGGTAAAAAATTAGCACAATAAGAATACCTATATTGTTTTATGAAGAGACAGTACACAATATTGCAAGCAAATTTTGAATTGTTTATTATTTCTATCTTTGATTTTGGCATTGTTTATAGTCAAAGGGGAAAAATTACCAATTCTACAGTTTATTTAAAATTCTTATGATTTTAAATAAAGAAACATAATTTTCTTAGAATGTCTGTTTTTAAATTATTATTCTGTAATTTATTCTTAGCTGTGGCTAAACAAGATTCATCTTCATTAACTGATGCTGTAGAGCAAGTTGCAAAACAACAACAATCACAAACATCAGAAATAGAAAAAAACAAAAAAATTCTGTTGGATTTACAGGTAATATGTTTCATAGTCTTTTTCAAATAATTGTGTTAAATTTGACACAAGTTAAAATAGAGGAAAACTCTTCAGTTTTTCCAGTCAGAGGAAAGGCATAGCAGTCCGTGAATATTTTTTCAAAACTATTAAGTTAATGACAGGTATAATTAGCACTGTTTAATCTACACAGACATTTTTAAATTCATACTTCTCAATATTTACTTAATTGTTCTGTTATCCATAAGTCTAATGAGTTTTGCAGTTTCGTGAAATATTTTGTACACCTAATCTACAAAGATTCAACAGTGTGTCATGACTGTAGTATAAGCACATAAAACCCAATGCATCAAGTAGAATTATTTTAGATTCACTTGTATTTTATATTTTTCAAAAATGCTGGATTGAAGGCAAGTTTGACTTGTGAGTTACTTCTTACAAGTGAAAATTTCAAGTAGATAAGGACTATTTCTTTGTTCCTTATATCTGATAATGTAGTCGTAAGTCCAATATACGGAATTTGGAACCCATACTTTTTTTGTGATCAGCTTCTCCATTATCTTAACCCTGATATATCTGATGGTATCAATATCTGGCACACATTCAGGCATCATAGGGGGCAGGAATTTTAATTTAAAGCAAGAGTTTTAGCTTAAAGAAAACATCATTAGTCATACAGTGTGCTGCATATATATATGTGCAAATTTCTATACCAGGTATGGTGCCCTTCCCTTCTCCCGAGCCCCCTATATTGTCATCATGAAAGTTAGTCAAAACTAATTAGAATGTAAAATTTAAATATGTGCATCATTATATATCAATAGGTCTATAAACAAAACCAAAAACCAGACAGGAAGGGGAGAAGGAATAATATGAACAGGAAAGAAGAAAGAGGAAGGGGGAACAAAGGAAGAAAAGAGAGAAAGGTAGGAGGCGGAAGGAGAAAGATAACAAGAAATGTAGTTGTAGTGAAAGGATAAAAATGTATTAAAGGAGGAATTGACTATAGTAAGGAGAAAAGGTAAGAGCTGACTACATTAGCCCAGGAAAAAGAAGAGATAGTGGCCAAATCAGTGATGTACTCTTCACGTTGATCCACAGCCTGATCTAGCTAGCAGGCATATGCCACTGTGCATCACGCATACACTCATTTAATAAATATATATTAAGCACTGGGTACCTACTTAGTTCCAGGTGCCATTTTAAGCTCTGAGGTGGGGGGATTGTTAGTGGGCAGATTGAGGGGTGTTCCAATGACCTTCAAACCTTGCAAACTAAATGGATTCTGTCATCATGACAATATATATATATATATATACTCTCAGTTTATAAGAACTTCAATAGAAAAGCACTTTAACAGATTTAGTGTACAATAGAAAGAAGAGAAGAAGGATATAGTTTTCCAGTGAAACACCAACTACTACCTATTCTCTCCTGTGTAAATGTGCAGCCAAACAGGATTGAGCCAAAGAGGGCCACTAAGACCTGAAAGCTTACCACAAGTCAAGCTTCTGATGGGAAGCCATAGAAAAGGAGCAGAAGGGGCTGGGAATATCTGGAAGGAAAAGAGCAAATAAAAATACAAGTCAAGATAAAGGCTGCTATTATCAGCCTTTCTATATGGGTCACTCACCCATGTCTCTTCAAAGTGTCGCTTATCCTGTCCCTCAAGTTCCTGTTACAAGTTCAAGACCAAGAAGCAAGTGAAGCTATTTTCTCACATGTCTCTCTGCTCCATGTGCCTTAAGTCATCTTCCTTCTCCAAGTCATTTTAGCTTCACTCCATTACTTAGGTCCACTCTTCCTTGAGTGAGGCAGGGAACATGGAATCTCACCTTTTAGATTACACTGTTACAGAATGACGGTGGTAAAGAAGATAGACAAGATTACTGTACCCATGACTTCTAGTCAGGGGAGACACACAATAAGGAAATTAACAGCTAAAGAACAGGTATTTTATATATTGCAAAGAAAATGCAATAGGGTAATGTATAGAAACTAACTTAGGCAGGAAAGTGGGTAATTGCTTTTTATTTTGATTCAGGGAAGAAGGGATAGTTCTGAAGAAGAATAAAGCTAAATTGTGAAAGACAAAGACCCAACAAGCAATAGTAGGAAACAGAGATTTCTAAGGTAGGATTACCCTTAGGAAGAATCTAGACATCTTTAATAAACAGATTGGAAGAGGGGACAGTACTCAATGAGAAAGATGGTCTAGTGGAGAGGGATTACAGCATAGATAGTCTTGTATATCACATTAATGAATTTGAATTTTATGATTGTAGGAAACCATTAGAAGATCTTGAACAAGGAAATAGCATGGTATGATTTATATTTTTAAAAAATTCTTAATGCTATATGGAGACAAGTTGGGAGAGAAAGGCAGGAATAGGAATAGGAAGAATAATCAGAAGCTAGGCCTGTCTATAAAGATTGGTCAGAAGTGATTTTGAAATTTTAACTTGGATGCTCAACTATCAGAATTTTCTGTTAAATTCATTTGGGAACCAAGGTAAAGGTAATAATCAAGAATTACTTCTAGGTTTTCACATATTTAGGTGCAAAGTGAGTGTGCAAATTAAATGATCTTTTTTGGAACATGTATATGTAGCTGAGGTGTTTATTAGGTATCAAAATAGAAGTTTCACCTGAGCATTTTAAATAATCAGAACTGAAAATGAAGTTTGAGGTTCATTTGCATATTATAAATTTCAGTGTACCCCATTCTCTTATCTCTGCCTGGAAAAGGATAGAATGGATCTTTTTAGTAGTCCCTCCCTCCTCAAATTATATATTTATTTAAAGATGATGGCCATACTAGATAGGGACAAAAAAAAAAAGATGGAAGATGGCCTGCAGAATTCTTTTGTTAGGAGTATCTAAAGATAATGGGGAAATTAAGGATGATTATTCCCTTTACCTTGGCTCCCACGATGAATTTATTATTCCCTTTACCTTGGCTCCCACAATGACCTTAACAGAAAATTCTGATGTTTGGGCATCCAAAATAAAACCCCAATATCACTTCTGACCAATCTTTATAGACAGGCCTAGCTTCTAATTATTCCCAAAGCAAAATAATTAGTTAAGTAGCGTAACCAGAATACAAAGCTATAGTAATTTGTGTTTTCCTCCAATTCTTCATCCTTGTATATACCCACATCCTTTACCATTTATCACAGAAATGCCTTCCCATAGTGGATGGGCATACTCTGTGAGTTTCAGCATATAACAATATGAGATGTTAGCAGATGTTATTCAAACAAAAACTTGTAAAACACACACACACACACACACACACACATACATAATTGAATTGAATGTCCTCATCCTCATCTGCTATCATCTTGAGAACATGCCTGGTTTCATCCACTGGAGAATGAAGCCAAAATATTCCAACTGGCTCAGTGGACCAAACTAAATCATTCCACAGCCTGTCAAACTCCAGACATTTGAGCAAATCTAACCAAAGTCAACAGAACTATCTAGCAAACCCAGGCTGCCCAGACACATCACCAATGAACACTTACTGCTATATGTCACTGAGGTGTTGTGGTTCTGACACTAATAGATGACTGATACAAAGGATACAAGGAAGGGATAGGGGGACGATTTGCTTGATTTTTGGATATCATGAAGTTGCAACAGCTAGTGATGAAGTTAAGAGAGCTAGTGTAGGACTAAAACCACTGTGAATCATTAATCTATTTGTTGCTCAAGATGAAAGTATGGGCAGGGTTACCCAAATAAGCGTGACTGAACCCTCTGGAAGACCTATATTTGATGGAATCATTGAGGCTAAGAAGGAATGCTCAGAATATCTGTGGAGAATAAGGGAATAATGAAAATACCTGGCTTGTTAGAAATGCCAAAGGCCCCGGAGAGGTTAGGTAAACATGTTTAACTTCATTTAAAAATGAAGAAAGTGGCCCTCCCTGGTGGCCTAGCGGGTTAAAGCACTGCACTAAGAAGCTGAAACCACTTCTGCATGAGTTCGATTCCCGCCTGCCCCGGAGGTGACCACATGGTGTGGCAGACCTC